TATGAAGGCAGTGTATCCAATGGGGTGAGAGGAGGGGGTGGCTCAAATTCCTCACACTGCCACTGCTCTGCCTGGACTGCAAGGTGCTTCCACAGGGTTATGTCACTTTTTGTGGAAGGGATCAAAAAGCAGAAGCAGTGGAAGGGAGAAAACCAATAGAGAGTATGGAGAGGGCTGATATGGAAAGATTAAGAATACAACAAGAATATGGGGAGAGACTGGTTATAGGGCTGAGGGACAGAGAAGTAGTAGTCTTAACAGTAGTTTTATGGGCTCTTCTCTCTCCTTCTGGGTATGAGCTTGGGGGAATCATGTATTTGTCTTCTTCCTATCTTCTAAGAACAGTTTTAGAAGATAGGAAGCAGACAAGGCAAAATGGGAAAGGTATTATCACTGCTACATGAACCTGGGGGCAGACTCAAACCTCACACTATGTTTCAGTGTGTACAGAGTTACTTGTAAGCTCTGTAAGGCTGCCAGCTTGCTAGCTCTCCACTGCCATAGTCAGGTCACTAGTGACTGTGGAAGAAACTCTCAGCCCATTTAGGCCACTCTGCATTTCGGCAGTTGCTTCAAGACAAAATATCTTATTTCTCAATGTTGTGTCCAATCTGAATGTCCAGTACTTTGAAAGGAGCAGAGTGGAGTTCCAATCAGTTTTAAGTCTATAAGGTAAATGAGAAGACAGGGACAAGGCAGACTCACAGAATGAAAGGAACTAGGAGAGGAGGCACACGTGTGGGTCTGCACCAAGGCTCTGCCACTTTTCACAGTTATTCAACCATCCTCTGCTTTATTTTCCCTACCTGAAAAATGGGTATGCAACATGTAAAGTTTTGAGATTTGCAGAAGGCTTAAAAGAAGATAATGCATATGAAATACTGAGGACACTGTCTGGCACATTGAAACAAACTCAATAATGATAACTATCATCAAGACCAAAATTGAATTTTTTTCTTTTCTTATTAGACTGATCGTTACTGTCACTTTAAAACCAAGATCAGCTAACTACAAGTGTTTTCAAAAGTATAGGTAAAGGTTTCTTTTAAGAATTTCAGATAGGGATTCATAGCATTTTATTGTCGTAGATTTTTTTTTTTTTCGTTTTAAATGGGGGACGGTAAATTATTTACCAAGTAGGTTCAGAAGCTGAAGGCTGGGGGAAAAAAAGCAACTCTGAACCTAAATTTAAACTAAGAGTGTTGAACTATGTTGAAAGACCTCTAAGTTATGAATATATTTGGAAAGTACAGATTTTCTCATGTGATAATTATTTTGGTTATCCAGAAAAAAATAAATGCTTGCAATTGCAAAATTTGCAAATTCATGGAAGGATGAACATTTTTTCCCCCAGAATGTAAATAGTATCTCAGTTTGAAGACGAGGAGAAGAGAAACAGAAAACAACAGATGCTTTCATTCAACAGTACCTATAGAGTGGCCACTATGAATCAGGCACATATGAATCCAGTCAAAGCCTCACCAAGTACTTCCAAAAACAAGCTATCCAGATGTCCTAGTACAGGAGGTAGCAAGGTCTAGATTATGGAAATATGGAAGGTTGCTGTGAGAGGGGAATCCAACCGGGGAGTGGGAAATACTTTGATAAAGGCTTAAGGAAGTGTCAGCCACAAAGCCCTGGCAGCTTCGGAAAAGGGCACTTACCCACTGCTACTAAAATTCCTCTTTTCCTCAGTGCGGGGTCTCATGCATAGCAGGCCTTCTATGTCTGGCCTCAAACTCTACTTCTGCCTCTCAGCCATGCCGTCTACTCTTTGAAAAGGCCATGGAGCAGCTGGGCAGAGATGGGCAGCCTCTGATTGGGAGAGGATCCTCATTTAAAGAACTGGGCTGCAGTGGCTGTTGTCAGGACAGTGCAAAGTGTGGCTGAGTCCTTGTGCCAGGCTTATGTGGACAACTTGGTAAAACGCACATTCCTTTAGCCCCACGGAACAAAATTCTGGGCATGCCTGAAGTACAGGTGCTTACAGCTCTGAGACTTGTTTTTATTTTTATTTTTCCTTCACTTTTAGAGATAGGATTAAAATAAAGCATAAAGTAACAGCAGCAGGGTTAAACCCTTGTTTTTGGTGCGCTGTACCTAGTGCATGATTTACCCCTTTGGCCATATTTTTAGAAGGGGCAGAATTCACACTGGCCTTTGAAAGTAACGTTTTTAACAGGTCTTTTTTTTTTTTTCTTTTAAGTATTTTTGCTGTTTGTACTTAAGTCTTGAGTTCCAATGAGAAGGTACAGGTAAACTACAAATAATCCTGTTCTTGAAAATGACTAAACAGCACTCACACACAGTCAAATGGTTCGGGTGCAGGGTCTGGCCCAATCACGTATTAGCCATGAAACTTGGGCAAGTCTCTTTATCTCTCAGTTGCTCTGTTTCTAAATCCCTCGGACATAGAATACCTTCTTTCTAAATTGAAGATTTAATGAAGTTTTTAGGTGTAAAGCCCTGAGTAGAGCCCAGAGGCGCTCAATAAATTCCTGGAACCCCACAAACCTTATCCAAATGCACCACCAATCTCATTCCTTCCACCATGGCAGTCTATAATCATTTCTCAAACATTCTCTAAGGCTCTCTTCCCTTTATTGATAATGTCTGTCTCCTTACTCAGCTATAGCAGTGAAGTCCACCTTTTAAGATTCAGTCCAAATGATACCTCTCTTCTGGTCTTCTCTCCCAGTCCTCCTGATCCTAGTTAGCACATACTTCTCCCACGATGCAGGTAAGGCTGAACCATAATTACATGCTTGTCTGTCATGCCGGCTAGACTGTGTGAAGTGTAGTCATTCTCACATCCTCAGCACTTAGCTTGGTGCGTGGCACGTAATAACTGGTCAAACCATAAATATACACATAGGTAATTTTTCTGAATGCCTGGATAGAATGGATTCACGTGTGGAAGGCTGAACAAGGGAATATACGTCCTTTAGGGAGGCAGTGGGCCTGGGAGAATTGTGTGGTGGTCCTAACGTTCCTTCCCCAACCCCCTCTACAGTGCTAGGCTGGACACTGAAGGATAATGGCTTCTAAGGTGCAGTCGGTTTCTGCGCTTTGGGACACGGCTCCGCAGGGCACCGGCAGGGGGCGGCGTTGCCACGCATCTGGATGCTCCGCGGGTAACCGTCCTCTCCCCACCCCCACCCCGTCACCGAGGGCGCGCAGCTTGGGCGAGTAGGACCGAGCTCCCTCAAATATCGCGGGGCGGACTGTTCTTCCTCCCATGCCAGGCGCCCGAGATTGTGCAGGGTCCAGGGAGAGCCTTCATCTTCTCCAGCATGTTCCCCTTTGCCCTACCTCAGTCTCCCTCCCGCAGCCTTTGCATAAAGTAGTTAGTTTGGAAAGAGCGTGCGGCCGGAATAGATGGCCGCAAGAAAGGAAGCTTTCTAGCAAACTCGGTGGTGAGCGCGTGTGAGAGTAACCATTACACTCCTTTCGCACTGCCAAAGTGACTGAAGCAGGTTCGAAAAACTCATCTTTTAGACTCGACCTGTCACATTTTGTGGAAAACTAGACAATTTCACATTGACATCTGTATTCACTTTAGAAAAGCAAACCTTAGCTTGGGACGAACGCGCTTCGCTTCCTCTGTCCGCGGGAGAACGCGCCGCGGTGCGTCCGGGCGCGCGCAGCAGCTCTTCGCGCGACACAGCGGCGGCGCGCTCTCCGCGCCGCACCCCGGGCCCGCGCCGTCCTCGGCTATTGGCCGCTCGCCCGCCCTGCCGCCCGACCCGCCGGGGCGTCCGCTCGATGACGCGCGCTGGCCCAGGCCGCGCTCCCGGCCGCCCGGAGCGGCTCGTGCGCACGAGTTGGACGCAACCTCGCGGCTCCGCCCCCGCGTCTCCTCGGGCTTGCCCGGAGCTCCCAGGCACTTCCCGAGGTTTCGAGAATCGAAACACAGTTAGTAAGCCCTTCCCCTCACTCGCGGAGACTGATTTGCATGGACGAGTGGGCTCAATAGTTCACACCGAGACAGCGTATCTTGATTAAAAACAACGGTCTAGCTTTATACCGATACACTGTTTAAGCGGGAGGTCGTGAGGAACCTCTGGAGCCCCATCATTAAGCTATAAGGACGCGCTGAATCAGAGAATTTTATGTTTGCCGACTTTCTGCACTTGCGTGATTTTACTCGTGATTCAGTTTTTAGGGTCACTTACAACTCTTGAGGCATTTTCAGGGTCTTCCCGTTGAGGAAAAAAGAATAGAGAGGCTTAGGCGCGAAAGACCGTCTCTAAGTTAAGTATATGTACAAATACACGCACATATACATGTACATACAAATAGCCACCGGCCTCGCGCTCTACGGACCTCTTGGCTCGCCGCGCCGCTCAGCTAGTCTCGGTCCGCAGGGCGGGCGGGGGCGGCGCCCTATGCAGATGAAGAGGGTGTGGCGAGCGCGCAGCGCCTGGGCCCCGGAAGCGCAGAAAGGCCTGGTATAAAAAAAGTAGTGAAGACGTTTCTCCGCACAACTGCTAAAGCTCCAGAGACAGTAGCGTGTGCGGCGGCGACGGCGGCAGCTGGAGCCGCCACCTCCGGGACCACCGCAGCTGAGGCGACAGCGGCGCGGGCGGGGGCGAGGGGCGGGAGTGGCCAGCGCAGGCGGCGGGGTATAGGAAGGACTAAGTGGCTCGCCGCTGCCGGGAGCGCACTCGCTGCTCCTAGAAGTGTTGCCGCCTCGCGGTTCCTCGCTCGCTGCGCTCCTCGAAGGGGCGGCCGCCTCCAGGTGACACAGACGGGACTCCCGCTTGCACTTTCCAGATGCATCAGAGATACTTTTGGTGCGGGGCTTCTCTGCGGGGCGCGGCGCGCGGCTGGGGACCGCGGGAGTGTGGGGAGGGAGAGTCTCCCAGAAGCCCTCGAGCCTGCGGAGGGACCGGGGAGGGGGCGCGCTTTTTCCTTTTTGGGCCCCTGTCCGGTGCCGCGAGTCCTCACCACCCTCCTTCCCCCTTTTGGCTTTTAGGACTGACCAGGGCCAAGTGGCGTTCGGAGGGCACTTCATGGCGGAAGGCGAAGCGTACTTTGCCATGGCCGAGGACGAGCTGACCGGCGGCGCTTACATCCCCCTGGGCGGCGACTTCGGCGGCGGTGGCGGCGGCGACTTCGGCGGGCACTGCTTGGACTATTGCGAAAGCCCCACGGCGCACTGCAACGTGCTAAACTGGGAGCAAGTGCAGCGGCTGGACGGCATCCTGAGCGAGACCATCCCGATCCACGGGCGCGGCAACTTCCCGACGCTCGAGCTGCAGCCGAGCCTGATCGTGAAGGTGGTGCGGCGGCGCCTGGCCGAGAAGCGCATCGGCGTCCGCGACGTGCGCCTCAACGGCTCGGCCGCCAGCCACGTTCTGCACCAGGACAGCGGCCTGGGCTACAAGGACCTGGACCTCATCTTCTGCGCCGACCTGCGCGGGGAAGAGGAGTTTCAGACTGTGAAGGACGTCGTGCTGGACTGCCTGTTGGACTTCTTACCCGAAGGGGTGAACAAAGAGAAGATCACACCACTCACCCTCAAGGTAAAGCCACCCGAACTGCGTTTGGGTCCTCGCCCGGACCGGGCTGGGGTGCGGCGGGCAGAGGGGCGTCCATTTGATGCCACAGACCCGCGGCCGTGACGGGTTTGGGCATGCTTCTATATTTTGTTTTGTTTTGTTTTGTTTTGTTTTTAATGAGTAAACTAAGGTGCATGGACGATATTGAATGTTTTAGTTCACTTGGTTCTTCAGCGCCACTACTCTTCTGCTTCTTCCTCTGTTCTCCCTTCTCTTCCTTATTTTTTTTTAACTCTTGGCTTTCCTTGCTTCAGTCTTGTCCAGAGTAGATTGATTAAGTGAAAGAATGAAATGATATAAGTCACTTTTTTGAGTCATTTTACGATCTAGTCTTTGGGGAAAGAGCAGTCTGAAGCAGAATGGAGTCAGTGGGCTTATTGGTGTATTGGAAAATGTGATGAGATTTCCCAGCTGCATGAGGCTGACTCGGTGTGTGAAGGATATGTGTGGTGCTTCTCCTGGTCGGTTCACGTGTGAGGGATATTGTGGGAACCCCCCCACCCCCACACTTTGGTTCAAAGCGTGTTTTATACAATTAAAATTGCATGAGGAATTAGCCTCCCAGAATGTCCTAATTTAGTTCATATTGGGTTTCAGAGTACCCTGGAGGGACAAGATTCTGGTCGCATCAGTTTCCTTAGGGGGAGTACAACTGGGTTGACTAGGGACAAGGGTGAGGGGCAGACCAACCTTCTACTGTATGCCCTTCTGTCTTTCGAGTATTGTGTGGATGTTGTGTGAATATTGTATCTATAAGACCATTTTCAAAAAATAACATTTCAGAAGTCAGACATGACAACAGAACCTCTTAGTACTGTGCTACGTCTGCCAAAAGCCTCAAACTATTACTTCTAGTTTCTTTCCCAGACGGTAAAACCACTCGTTAAATGCGTTTTTTTCTGCTTTCAGAGGACTGTTTAAGCCTGTAGGTAGTGTTTTGCTGAAACTTGACAAAACAAAAGGGAAGGAGCAAAATAATTTTCAACTGTGAAGAAGATGTATTTGTCTACTTATTATTTTTTCTAGGTCTTCTCATCTTGTTTTATCTTTTAAATTGTAGGAAGCTTATGTGCAGAAAATGGTTAAAGTGTGCAATGACTCTGACCGATGGAGTCTTATATCCTTGTCAAACAACAGTGGCAAAAATGTGGAACTGAAATTTGTGGATTCCCTCCGGAGGCAGTTTGAATTTAGTGTAGATTCTTTTCAAATCAAATTAGACTCTCTTCTCCTCTTTTATGAATGTTCAGAGAACCCAATGACTGAAACATTTCACCCCACAATAATTGGTGAGAGCGTCTATGGTGATTTCCATGAAGCCTTTGATCATCTTTGTAACAAGATCATTGCCACCCGGAACCCAGAGGAAATCAGAGGGGGCGGCCTGCTTAAGTACTGCAATCTATTAGTGAGGGGCTTTAGGCCTGCCTCTGATGAAATCAAGACCCTTCAGAGGTATATGTGTTCCAGGTTTTTCATCGACTTCTCAGACATTGGAGAGCAGCAAAGAAAACTGGAGTCCTATCTGCAGAACCACTTCGTGGGATTGGAAGACCGCAAGTATGACTATCTCATGACCCTTCATGGAGTGGTGAATGAGAGTACGGTGTGCCTGATGGGACATGAAAGAAGACAGACTTTAAACCTTATCACTATGCTGGCTATCCGGGTGCTAGCTGACCAAAATGTCATCCCTAATGTGGCTAATGTCACTTGCTATTACCAGCCAGCCCCCTATGTAGCAGATGCCAACTTTAGCAATTACTACATCGCCCAGGTCCAGCCAGTATTCACGTGCCAGCAACAGACATACTCCACTTGGCTACCCTGCAATTAAGAATCATTTAAAAGTGTCCTGTGGGGAAGCTGTTTCAGACAAGATAGGGAAAATAAATTCACAAATAAAAAGGCTGAGTGACGCAGCCCTGATTAAAGATGTGTTTTGTGCAATGATGATCTGCTCCTGGTTTTAAGCTTGGCAAAGCTTGTGGATCTCTTCATAAATATGGGAGCTTGATCTCAAAACCACCCTCCTCACCCACCAACCCTCTCACCTGTTCCTCCTACCCAATTGGATTCTATCTTGAAACAAAAAGACCTGTCATTAAAAGCAACCAGGTTCTCTTAAAATGACAAGGGAAAAAAAATGCTTGATGACAATATGGGTTTGCAGTACCTGCTCCCATAGCTTTGCCATAGGGGGAAAAATGGAGAGTTTCTTATAACGTGGAATTCACAAAAGGGAAAATGCAGAGGAAAAAAAGGTCTTACCCCAACCTAGTTTTCAATTCAGAAGTTCAGATAGTAATAATGGAAGAAGAAAGGGTACTCCAACGTTGGGATTACTATCTGAGACTTTTAGCAAGTGCTTTCTGTGGAACCATTCTATTACGCTAACAGAAACAGCTTGCTCCTAATGAACAGTAGTAGGTTGGTGCAGCTCTCATAACAAACAGCAGAACTTACGATGACACAATCCATTATTTCCAGCTGCATGCATAGCTTGCATTTTTAAAATGTGAAAATGCAAGCAAAAACAGCTGTAACAAAGAAAGTATGCTCAAGGACCAAAGATTTAACAGATAAAAATACCCAAGTAGAAGAGATATAGTAGAATAAAGAGTTACTATATTTGTTACACACCAATAAACATCAAAGTGCCTGTTGCCTTCTGAAAATTTGAAGTGGAAAAATTTTATGGTTTAATGATTATTTTATTTTATCAGGGACTCAAGAAGAAAATAAAACAACATATAAGCTTGTGAATGGTGGAGGAAATGCCCTATTTTTTCTTGGCAAATACTTGTATAAAGTTAACGGTGTGATATTATCATAGGTACATGTGTATGTATGTGTATATTATGTGTATATATATATATATATACATCATATATGTATATATATACACACAGTACATTGACTATGGTCTAGAATAATGTAGCAAATAGAAAATGTTTAAATACTGTGTGCTTTTATGTTTTCAACAGGATGACATGAGACGTGGGCATATTGCAGTGATGAATTAAAACCCACATCTAGAAAATTAAAGCAAATGAAGGAGGAAAACAAGTAATATATTTGATAGGAAGAGCAGAGAGTATACATTTTTAGTGAGTGTGTTTTTTTTTTTTTTTTTTCCTTTTATTGTGAGCCATAGAATTCTACAAATGGGAGAATATTTGTTTGGCAGAGCACTCTTTTTGTACTGAACTGCCATTTTGACAGTAGGAACCCTTTTATTTTGTGTAATACTTGCATGCCTCCATGGTGTATAATCCAGTGGATCATGGATCAGTGATAGTCCATTTAAATCCCTGACTGCTAATAAAATTTCTGGTGATCTGAACACTACTTTATTAATATTTAAATGAATTTTTTAATGAATGCATTCTGCATTCCAGGACCACTAGAATTTAGTAAATGTGAAATTATCCTTTTTAAAGAGTATTTGCACAATTGCTTAAAATTTATATATGAGATATATATTATATATGAAATTTTATAAATTCATGCCAATATGAAACATCTTTGATCTGGTTATCACACTGCATTTAAATATTTAGTACTGTACTTAAAATTCAGTCACTTTGCATTGAATCAGATCCAACTTTATTATCTCTTTCCCAAGAGACCAGTTAAACCTTTGTGAAATGAACTGGCATCCCTATTTCAGTTCAGTGACAGCTAATCCTAAAACCATTCTTTCCCCCACCTCTTAATTCCTCTGGATACTGGTCTCTGAAAATGCGTTTCTTAAAAACAAAGCTAACACATGCAAACCTTTCCTTTGTGTTGTGAAACAACCGCACAATTCCTCTCAACTCTAGTGGATGACTGCTTACTATGACAATTCCTCTGAAGAACCTACCATATTTTTGTCATCAAGTTCAAGAGGGATTGGGGAAAAAAATAGCATCATCCTATTGGCAGTGTCATTTGTTTGCTATCTAGGCATCACTCATGTTCAATTCTAGGTTAATCCATCTGAAACTACCTTTTGCACATCTTTCTTTGAAGCCTTAAGAGGAACTTGATGGGTCTGCTGTAGCAGCTTCCCTGTGAATTCTGTCTGAGCTGTAACAGCTACTGCACTGCCACTCACTGTTTCCTAGGGAACTCTTTCTTCTCCCATGTTGGCTCAGTCTCCCTCACTCCAGCCCTGGGTTTGAGAATTAATTTTGAATTTCCAGGCAATATTATTCCATTTGCAGATCAAGCCTGATACTTAACTGTCAGAAACCAGATCTCCGCCTGCTTACCTGTTTTGGATTTTCTAAAAGAAAACGAAGGGAATATTCGGGAACATAGGAGCAGATGGTTATCTGTCTACTTCCTTCTTATCCTAACTATTGAGAAGTGAATCGTCCACTATATGAAAAAGAATCTGGAGATCTCTGGCTCTGCCATAGGAACAGTCTGCTGTTAATTTATGACACAGATTTCTTATTTGGAGGGGCCTTATTTGAAAATACTTTCCATTTATTTTCTGAAATATTTATGTCTTTCTCTTGCTTTACTCCAGGGTTGGTAGTCTAGTTGGAAGTGCCAACACCTGCCATTCAGATAGAACAGGCTGTGCTCAAGACAACCTTCAGCAGTTACTTTAAAACTTAGATAATTTATTTCTCTTTTGTATGTACTATAGTCTTGTGCATATGTAGTTGAACAAAACAGTGGAATAGATGTCTCTCTTTGTGGATGTGTAACCTAAGAGTTTGAATGTCTGGTGAGAGAGAGCCGTGTGTATAGGTCAGAGAAAAGAACAGCTCTCAACTCCTGATTAGTGCCTGTGATTTGCTTGCTTTTGTGTTTATCTGGCCTAGTGTGCTGTTAACTTTAAAACAGGAAGAAGTCTTATCTTCTGGAGGCTCTTCTCACCTGTCCAGTTTGGCATGTCAGAGAAAATCTAACCTGTGACAGTGCCCTTTTAAAAAGTTGACTGGATTTGCAGTAAATCTGGTTGCCTCAAGAAGTCCTACATCAAGATGGACTTTTCCCTTCCTGACATGGGGTCAGGTATCTGCTCACTTTGGTAGTGGGTGGACTATTTTAATGTGGCTCCAAATGATGCAAGGATGGAAGAATATCTGTGACCCAAGCCACGGAGGAAATGCAAAGAAAAGCAAACATACTGTTTTTGTCATCCCTTTCTGTTAGCGTATCGTTGATTGCTTCACTGTGCATAGTTGTTTTCAAAACAGTGCTTGTCAAATAAATATTGTGAACTATTTTGTAAATGAAATGTATTATGTTGAAAGCTGTCAGCAGTTCAAAAATAAGCTTTTTTTGTTGTTTGAAGACAACGTGTGTTAGATGAAACCAAAAAGTAAAAAAAAAAAAAAAAAATTACATATAGCACCTATTTGAATATATTCTTTCTTTAAGATTTCTTATAGCATAGCCTTTTCAGTGCCAAGAAAGAATCTCTGTGTAATATTTTGTTGTAATAATGGCTTGCTAACAAAATATATGGTTAAAAGTACAAAGGTGGAAGATGTCAAGGTAATTTGGCAAAATTTGCTGCAAATCCTTTTGCAGAATGGAGGAGGCTCTGCCCGCTGGCTGTCTCTCTCTCCGACCTCTACAACCATTGCCTGCTCTGAGATGTCCTATTGCAGCAAACTGCACCTTGGGTCACCCTTTGGAATATTTTGACTTTAGACTGTGTCACAGGCAGAAAAGGAGTTGATGGAGAATGGACTCTTAAAAACTGACATGTTTGAATCAGTGCTAGAGGGAACAGATTGTGAATTTTGTTTACAGCATCCAATATTTGGATTTTTTTTTTCTTGTAAATAAAAAGAAGTTATTTTTTTCTATTGGTTTGTGTCTTTTGTCTTCAATGTCTGTGCTGGCTAAAGACCATGTCCTCTGAATACCAACTCGATTCCGTAAGAAAAGACAAGGCAATATTGGGAGAAGACTAGCCCTCAGCAAATTTTTGGTTAGAGCACACATTAAAATGTTCAGCTTTCAGCCAACCTATCTCTGACTGGCTCAGTTAGCTCCAAAAGAGTCTAGTTAATATGTGCCATTCTTTTTTTTTCCCCCCTGGGTATGAACTTAGCAATGTTAAGCAGCCGCAGAAGTCAGACCTATTTGCCGCCAACAGTAGAGACTCATGGATCTGGACTACAGGGCTCTAATAGGCTTTAGTGGGCCTTGGTTTTCATGAGTAGCCCAAGTGGTGCAATTCAGTCATCAGTCGTTGTATATAATTTGAGCCTCTATAGTATTATTCAGACTTCACATTGGGAGAAGGGGAATAAGTATTGGAAGCTGGTAATTGGAATGAGAAGTGGAAGAAAAGCATTCTAATAAGTTACACTTTGCGTGTATGCGAGTGTTGGGTGCAAATAAACTGCCCTTTTGACTAGCATTTAACATAATCTCACCTATTCAGATGACCAGGGGCATACATTAATTTATTAACTTTTTTTCTTTGTGTAATTTCGGAGACTTTCTCAATACTAGTAGCAATGATAATTTGGTAAGCTTAGGCTATTATAGGACATATTGTGGTTTTAAAACCGCTTAACGTCCCGATGTTGGATAGAATGCATACTTGACACTGCATCTATGAAAGAGACCCTCCATATTAAAAGCCAGCTTCCCTCACATATACATCATAAAAAATACAAGGTGGCTATTTGGTTTGATAATGGAATTTGTGTGTTACTCGCTTCTTCCTTTGTTGCAACCTCTTCATCCTTCTATAACGAGTCCCTCACATGTCTGTGGCCATCATATAATTCTTTCTAAGCAAAGGTGGAATAAAGACAGTATATGTTAACCTTCTCCTAGACTTAGATACACCCTGCTATTTCTAGTTGAATT